CATTTGCATCTGGCGCTTACCCATTGGCCTCCAGTAGGTGTGCTGTAGCTCTGCCACGAGAGGCAGGAACTGCTGGGCGGAAAAGTCTCTGGTCTGTGTTCTGCAGGAGGTCAGACTGAAATCTGGATTATTCTAGATTGTAATACCAGAAGGGACCAGGATAAGTCACAAGACTTGGCCTTTAGGTTCGGAATAGTCTTGCTCCCTTATAGTTTTTCTTTTGTTCAAATTATATCCCAACCTATCTTTTCAGAAGATATGGGTAACATCTAGAGCCTAGGGTTTGAAATCTGAAACTGGATCCAAATTTTATAAATAGCTGTTATCTTTCTAATGGGTCTATCAAAAACCACCCTGAACTTCTAGGTGTTCAGAATCCAGATGCAGATGTTGTAGTTTGAGGCTCTCTCTGAAGAGCTGTATCATTTACTTCCCAATCCTGTATCTGCACCTGTGTGATACCCTGGAGACTTCAACAGGGCTCTGTGTGGGTTACAGGATACAAAGCATATGCGTGTAGTTGCAGGCTCAGAGCCTTAATGTGCCTGAACTTAGCTGTGCACCAATGGGAGGTAAGCTTTCTGTAATGCTATGCCTTATCTGTGGATTGCACTACCTACCTATCATCATGAGGATCTCTCACATCACAATCATGACCCAATCTTTCAGAGGTGCTGACCACCTGCTGCTTCCATTAACTTGGGTGCAATTCATGGGTGCTCAACACCTCTGAAATTCCAGCCCAGGGTTTGGTATTGAAGAGCAAGCTGAAAACAGACACTTGGTGCCACTTTCTTACTGCTTGTTTCCTTTGATTAAAAAAGAGAAGGAATCAGCGCAACATTAAAATGTGGAATTCTTCCTAATCAGTGCTGCCCCTTACTCGGGCTGGCTTGCAGGATACAAATCCAGCCCAGTGGCTTTGCATTGGTGGAAATGATGACAAAAAATGCAGGGGCCACGGAGAATCAGCGCATGGTGGATGGGCTGGGCCTTTTCCTACCCTTGAGTGTTGGGTTCTGATTTTGGGGACTGCACAGTAGATGGGATGGTGGTGGTGGCCAAAGCCTTTTCTCTAACCTATCAGAGGAAAAGACTAGCTTGTGCTGCCCACCTGTCACGTTTGATCCAAATGTAAATAGTTTCCAGAATGACGCCTGGTTTTGCTTTGTTTGGGGAAACACACAAGGCACAGATTGGTTTCAGAGTTTAGAAGCTGGTAGGCTGGGGCGCTGGCAATAGAATGTAAAGTCCATTCACCTCCAGACCACTGGCTGAACTCCAGCTTTGGCTTAGGAATTGGATGGCTCAGGGGTGACTGCCTCTACCTCATCAGTTTGAATTCATGCCCAGAGGGTCATGGCTGAATGCTGGAGGCTGTGCACCAACCCACGTGAAGGGAGTTTGATGGATCTTGGCCTAGTTCTGTTGGGGACTAGTGTCCCCACTGCACTACAAACCCCACTGCAATTGGCACAGACTGGTTTCCTGATTGGCAGGCTTGGCTAGGAGAGTGAACTCTCCTCTCATTCTTAGAGGAGCGGGGGGCACGGTGGGAAGGCAGCATGTCAGGGACTCCTGACCTGCTGCTGTCAATCCCGTACCTGTTCCATGGATAGAGGCTTCTGGCTTCTGCCGAGCCAGCTTTCCTGGGCACTAAAAATCCCCATGCCCTGAAAAGGCGTTCAGAGGCTTGTGGCTGAGAATTCGGTTTTGTGCCTTCTGGCCATTGCAGGACCTGCCCTCACAACGGGATCAAACCGGCACCAATGTGAGGACAATGAAGCCCAGTTTGCTCACAGCAGCTTTTGGCAGGTGCTGAGTTCGGCAGAGCTGGTTTACATGCTGGAGTTTTGTAATCCTCCCGTGAAAGGCTGCAGGAAGATTTAAGCCCTGGGCTAGAAAACAAAACGAAATCCTTTTCTCTTGCAAGCTCCTGTCACCAGCTGTGCCTAGAACCCACCGACTTAATGGCACGGAGAATAATAAGGCAGTCAGCATTCGATAGGCGGGAACATGCGGGGGAATCAGAGAGCGAGCAGGGAAGCTGCCTCCTAGCTCGACATATGATACCTATTGAGGCAGGTTTCTCCCTAGGGTAGCAACACTGGCTTCAGAGGAGATTCTCCAGAGATGAGTGTGGTTTGGAAATGGTAATTTATGCATGTTTTTACTCTGGAGGGTAGATCCTTAAACCCAGCTTCCTGGCTGGCATGTGGAGAAGATGGGAGGATGATAATGCAGTAGCCTTTTCCCCTTGGAAACCTAGGGCCTGATTCTCTCCCCCCCCCCCCCATTGCCTTGCATCTTTTGCAGTTATTTATGCTGGTGCAAAGTGGGTGTAGAGAACTACCATTCTGGTATGGCAGCATTTCACACCCACTTGTACTGGTGAACGTGACAGCGCAGGGTACAGGACAATGGAGCATCAACTCCCTGAGCTCCAAATCTTTATCAGGTCACATGTGAGAGGAGTGCCCCAGGGCTCAGTTTAGTCATTCACTAGTGTTGGTTCACATAGCCACCCCCCTCCCTGGCTATGTGAGACTTGGTGCAATTCATCCTCTGCTGAGGCCCAGGCCTGGAATAACGGAGTGATGCGGGTCAGGATGGAGGTGCACCTGCAGGGCAAAGAGGGGACCACAGTACCAAAGGCTCTTCTGGGTCAGGGATAGGACACAATGGCAATGAAGGGTGGGACTGTTCAGCACTGCACTATCAGCGGTTATTCCGGGTCAAGACCTGCAGTCCCACCTTGGGGTGGTTTCCTTATGGCTAGAACAGCATGGAGAGACGGCGGTCAGGATCGAGGTGCATTGGCTCAGCTATGTGTGGGGATTTTCTCTCTTTTCCACATGACCACTAAAATCCAAGAAACCAAAGAAAGCTGTAAATATTTGGTAGTGATTTAAAAGGTGTTTTTTAGGAACAATGGACCCTTGGCCAGTGAATCTAAAACAGGTGATGGCCAAACTCCAGCAGCTGCCACCTGGTGGATCTTGACAGTAGCCAAGTTGGCCTTGACCCCACCTGTGCTTGGCTGGCATATAAAATATGGGGATCTGAACTGTAATGAGAGTATATTTAGCAGCTGTTGAGGGCCAAGCTTCTTTCTTTCTTTCTAGCCTGAACTTTGATCATGGAATGAGAGTGGGGAACAAAATAAACACAAATAAAAATGACCAACATGATGGGAAAAAATGAGATGGACCGATATTTTGGTAGCTCCCAGCTCCACGATGAGAGAGAGGACGGGAAGAACACAAGGCAGGCTTTTCAAAGAGTGCTTTTAGCTACATGGCTTTGAATTTTATGCACCTAGTAAAACGTGGGAAGTCTGTAATTCCCAAAAGCACAGACTACCCCCATCCTCCTCAGGCAACCAGACACAAAAAGCAGCAAGAAGCTGAGCTGGACTGGTCAAAATTTGTCAAACAAAAAATATTTTAGTTGGAAAGTGGCTATTTTTCCTAAAATGGAAATCTTTGCAAAAAAAAAAAAAAAAAAAAAAATTTGTAAAAAAATATTGTGTGGGTTTTTTTTTTTTTTTAATGAAACCTGTAAACTAAACATTTGTGGATTTGGTGTTTTCAGTTTTTGTTATTTTTCCTTTTTCTCCCCTTCCCCTTTTAATGACAAAAGGAGGGAGGGGGCAGGGGCTGGGTTCTAAAACTGAAATGCTGAAAATTTTCTAAACTCAGAATTTTCAAAACTGAACATTTGCAATAAAAACGTTTTGCAAAAGCTTTAGAATAGATGAAAAAAGGTTCCTTTTGAAAACCTGCCGGATGAAAATTATTATGAAATGTTCAACATTTTTTTGTGAAGACTCTTTCAGCATTTTCTGACCAACAAGCCTGACTGTCTCACCTCCAGAGCTGAAGTCATGGGCGTCATTGGCATGAAGCAGTTTGGGGCGGCACAAAGCTGAACTGATAAGCACTGTCAGCTAATGTTCCCTGGAGATTGGTCCCCTTCTACTGGCAGTTCTAAGAACTTGTTTCTTTTTTGCCTGAGGGCACGGGATCAATCCTCATCCTAGTCCCTGTCAGAGACTATGAGGCATCTTCTACTTTCCAGCCCTTCCTCCAACATACCCACCGTCATCCTGCTAGCCAAGGAGAAATGGATGGGGCTTCCTTTGGTCCCTGGTCCTGAACTAGTTGGGGTGGTCATTCTTGAGGTCATGTTAACCTAAGGAGAGAAGAAGCTGATCTGGGATGCTAATCCAAGTCTCTGGCATGGCGAAAATACCACCTTGGCCTGTAGGGACTGGAGTCTGGACGGGTTCCACTGGACTCGAGATGCAGAGGAATAAAAGCCTGCAAATCCTAGACACCAGAATCCCCTGGAGGAAGATAAATAGATTTTTTTGATTGGCTCAGTGTGTTCCTTAGCCCTTGGGCCCAGGCTCAGTGGTTGAAATGAGGCATTATTTCCCGTGGCGCTCAGGAGGAGGAGTGTGTCCCTGGCCGCCGCCTTCCAGGGGCTGGACCAATGTGTTTGTTACACACTGGAGGGGGCTGGTTTCCTTAGTCACTGTGACCCAGTGGCCCCTACTGTACCCCTGGGAGATTTTGGCCAGTGTGTCACTTTATTCCCTGATTGCAGAATCATTTGCTAAACTCCTGTTCCAATCCCCAACCCTCCCCACCCATCCCACCCCACCTCCGTTTCTCAGTCCTACAAGTGGGTGACCAGCATCTTGCTGAGGATGCATCAGACACGAAGGGCGGATGCCGGCACGTCACCATTAGCAGGAGTCGCTTTTTTTCACCTCCACAACATGACAGGCAGCTTGGGGCACCATCACGGTGCCACACCAGGGGCTCTTGAGCTGGCTGGGCAACCAGCTTGGCTAACACATACACGGCTCATCCAAACTGTACATGGGCTGTCTGGCATGAACAGACCCATGGGGCTGTGCCGCTCAGTCCTTGCCTGAAAGAGACACTCCTCCCCACTGCTGTGAGGTGGGGGGGGAGAGAGAGCAGGTCTCGTTAGATCTCTGTGGCTATGATGTCCTCGTAGGGGACATCGGTGCCATGGATATCCAGGTCGATGGGCTCTCTGCCGTCTCCCCCTGCAGCCAGTTGCTGGAGCATCTTCTCCATGTTCTGGTTCCTTTTGTACATGTGCAGGTAGCTCTGCTGCAGCTGCTTCTGGTAGTGGATCACCTTCTCCTTCTCCTCCTTCCAGATCTGTCGCTCATGCTGGAAGCCGGAAGTCATCTGCTCGTTCTTGTCTCTCTCCTCCTTCAGCTCCGCCTTCAGCTTATCCACTTCCCCCTGCAGGGCTTGGACATCCTCCATCATCCCCACAGCCGGGCTGGCGGAGGCCATCCCATCCCTCCCATCGCTCCGCTGCTCCTTGAGGATGGTCAGCTCCGTCCGGAGCTCCATAATCTCCTGCTCCAGCAGGTTCACCTTCTCCCTCAGCAGCTCCGACTCATTTCTCTTGCGCTGGAGCTCGTTCTCGCACACCTCCAGCTCCATGGCCTTGGTGCGAAGGGAGTCTTCCAGGTCCTGGCTTTTCATCTCCAGTCCCTCCATCTTCCCCCTCACGTCCTTCAGCTGGGCTTTCAGGCTGAGGATCTCGCTTGTCTTGGCATTGAGCTCCATCTGGGAGTCCTTCAACTGCTGCTTCAGGAGGGAGATTTCGCCAGACTTCTGACACACCTATGGGGGGGACACCAACCAGCCAGCGTTAGGGCCCCCGCTTAAAAACCACACGCCAAAGCAGTACAAAAACCACCATGTCACTCACCCGTGCTCCATCCAATTCCAGTCCATGGCAGAGGTGGGAATAGAACCTGGAGTCCTGGCTGAGAAACCTTTTCTTAGCACAGTTCTACACTACCTGTTGGACTTTTACACCCAGGCACCATCCCTGAATATTGCAAATAGATCAGTGACGCCCAAAAATAGCTTCACTGAGGTGAAATTCAGTCCCCAGAGTGGGGCTTATGCAGTGCCTAAACTTTGCGCTGGGTCTCTGACAATCCCAGCCTTGATCCTGACATACACTGCAAAGGAGCCTATGAGGGGGCTAGGCACTCAAATACTACTGAAATTCAGTAGGCACTGAGCTCCTATCTCCCTCAGGGCCAGATTTCCAAGGGCTCAGCATCCACCGTTCACACAAAAGCACAGGGCTAATTTGAAAACCTGGCCCTTAACGGTATGTCTACACAAGCTTGTGTCGATGGGACTTGCGCCAGCACCCTCCAAACAGCGATGTGGATGTTGCAACACTGGCAGAGGCTCCGGGGAATGCTCTGAGCTTGGACCCAGAGCCTTGCTCCCAGCTCGGTGTGGGCACCCCCTGACAGTTTCATTTTTGGGGTTTTCAGTTTAGGAGCAAATCAATAGAAATATGAAAACAAATCAGCACATGGGGGCGGGAGGGGGGAAGGGCTAAAATCAATTTTGAATTGCTGCCATCCTCTAATGTACACAATAGTCCATCAATAGCAATGGCTCTGTACATCCATTTGTAATGGACACGTTACCATATTTCATTCATTCTGCAGGGAGGGGAATGCTGCTTGAGTTTTCAGCAGCTTACCTGTTTTTTTTTTTTTTTTTAAACGATATCAAATCAATAAGGAGATTATATAAAACACAGGCATGCAGTGGGAAGGTTTTAATACGCTGATAAATTGACCAAGTCAAGCCCAGGTAGTTACTTAGCATGTAAGTAAAGCAGCTTTATAGTTCCTTGGGGGATGAGGGGGCAACAGGCTATAGCTGGAAGTATTGTGTGATTGGCTGTTTCATTAACTGAGTTATTTTAATAACAGGGTTTTTTAAATGTCGTCGTTGTGTCTTTAAATGATGTGAGATGCCAGGATGTCATGAGGGGCACAGGATCAATCAAAATCAATATGTTACAAAGCCTCCACATGCCCGGCAAGCAAGAAAAACATCTTAAATAGACAGGCTCTGTATTCTGTGCCTACAAATAACGCATCCATGCACACAGCAGATAACTACCTTCACAAATTGCTCCAACACAACAACATTCAGTGCAGTATATGTGAGCACAGAAAAACAGGCTGGCATCCAGAAAGCCCCCTTAATGCAAAGGCAACTGGCATTTATTTCAGTAAGCTCTGGTTTGGGCCTTAGGTGCCTAAATACTAGATTTCTGGATGCTTCATAAATGCGACAGACAGTGTGAATGAGCTCAGCCACAAAGCATTGGTAGACCCCAAAAAGGGTAACTGTGCAATCACCTGTTTGCACAGTTACTGTCTCTGCCTGCCTGCCTGCCTGCCTAGCTGTGAGTGCAATCGCCTTACTTTCATGTGCATACCCATGTTTTTATTTTTGCAGTCACAGCAATTTGGACCCCCCACTTGTGTGGGTTTAGTGTGTTCAAAACAGAGCACTGCCTCACCTCCCACTGAGTTTCTTCCAGCGCTGGGGCAAAGCTGGTCTTCTCTTTCTCATAGGACCGCAGCTTGGTCTGCAGCAGGTCTTGCTCCTTCATGAGCTTCTCCAGCTCCTCACGAAGCTGCTTCTTCTCCTTTTGCAGCTGGAACACTTGGAGGTGCAGCACCTGCTGCGTCCGCTGCATCTTCTGAGAGGTTTGCTTGAGCTGCTTGTTGCACTTCTGCTTCAGCCCCTCCAGCTCTTCCTTGCAGCGCCTCTGCTTTTCTTCATAGGCCTGGCAGGAGGTGGCCTCCTTCTCCTCGAAGCTGCACTGCAGTTCCTGCAGCTCCCCTTCCCTCTCCAGCAGTTTCTGCTCCAGCTCCTGGATGGTGGACTCATCTGTGGAGATGGGAGACCGGATGCAGGAGGCTTTCTCGTGGTGGTGGTGGTGGGCAGCTTTTCCAGGGTTGAGGATCTTGTTGCCGCTGTCAGAGAAGGACAGCGCCTTGAGGCTCATCATGTTGCTGTCTTGTATGATGGTGCACTGGGTGATGTTGTGGGCCGAGCCCCCGAAACGGCTGATGGGCCCCATAGGGGTGACCAGGGGATCCAGCTGGTAGCTGCTGGTGGTGCTGTGGGTGGGGAGGCTGGACATTGAGTTCCTGCCGGAGTCCGACAAACCTCCAGAGCACAACATGGGCTTGAGTTCTTGATCCTTCGCTTTGTCTGGAGGGTGCAGCTGCTGGGAGATGTGGCTGCCATTTTCCGGAGAGGAGTGGAGGATCGCGCCTGAGCGGGGGATCACTGGCTTGAAGGCGGTTGGCCTTATAACGCCCTTCTCTGGGCCCTAGAGAGAAGAGAGATTCTGATCAGTGCGTACCCAAGGCCTCAGATCTTACTCCTTTTTGCTTAATCCCTTGTAGGTTTTCTAATGCCACCCTCAGGAGGGCAGGGTCCTGGCAGCTAAGGCTGCAAGAGGGTCCCAGAGCATAGCTGAACCCTGCTGGCTGACTCACTGCGGGGCTGCCCCACTCGGGAGGAAGGCGGAGGGATTGAGGAGGCGGGCAGGGAGATCCCCGCCTGTTGAATTGTGCTGGCCTGCGTTCCAGTGCGTCCCCAGGAACTGAAATTAGAGGGAGGTGTTCGAAAAGGACTAAATTGGCAACACTGCATGTAACTAGCTGACCACTGGGGGGGCAGATGGGGGAAGTTCGGAGTTCCAGAATCAGCTTAGCCTCTAGCCACTCTCCTCCCTTGGGAGCTACCTTTGCTTCTCCTATCTCTGCCTCTCTCAAGGACGTAACTGCGGTTTGTTCCCAGATGCACTGAAATACCCTGTGTCCGCTGGGTCTAAACGGTGTAGCAGGCATGTTCGCGGTACCTCAGGCTTCTCCTCCCGTTGCTTCCTTGGACGGTGCCCTGTGACAGCCCGGCTCCTGGCAGCTCAGCCAAGGGATAGCGCTCTCTCTCGGCTCACCCCTGGAGCTGCTGCCTACCCCAATGAGGGTTGGAGCTGTGGGATGGGAACATGCAGGGGGCACGCAGCAAACCCAGTCACTGAAAAGGAGAATGTGGCTGGCTGGTTACTAAATAATTGTCATATTTGCAGGGATCTCAAGTACCTTCAAAAAGAGGGAGGGGGTGTTACCCCCATTTTAGACAATATGGGGAACTAAGGTCCAGAGGTTCAGGAACTTACTCAAGACCACGCAGTGACTCAAGGGCAGAGCTGGGAACAGAACCCAGGCTCCTGCTTTCCCCAACAGAGAACACGCCTCTCCCAAAGCAGGGAATGGAGCCCTGGGGCCCAGTTCCCCAGTACCCTGTGCCTGGTGCAGTCATTTGCACCAGGGCAAAGCGGGGCGAGAACTCCTCCCGTCTGATCTCCTGGCATGTTACACTCAGTGGGCACTGGTACAAATGGCAACCCAAGGGGCAGGATTCAGAGCCCAGGAGCCCTGATTCACAAGGCCCTGATCTAATCACTAGATCATGGGTTCACAACTGGGGCGTTGTGACCACTCTCCCTTTCTTTAGGGCTAGGTGGGAGGGGAGTCCCAAAACTATTTGCCTTGTAACATGGGCTCATGGTCCAGAGATTGTTTGGCAATAGTGGACAGGCCATGTTCCTGGGCCAACTACCAGTGGGCAGATAGCCCGTGTCCTGTAGCACCGGGCCAGTCTTTTAATTATTTTGAACATCTGGGGATCACAAGCTCTGATTCCTGAGGCAAATGTGTACTACTTTTTACACAGGGCCTTGCTCCCTTGCTGGCCTGGGGCCCTAGAAGGGATTGTTTGGCTCATTCCTGTCACTGGAAGAGCTCTGCTGTGAGTGCCCTTAAAGCCACACTTGGTCATGGAAACGTTTCAGTGCAGGAGCGGTGCGAAGCTGTTTGTAAACTGCAGCTTCTCCAGCAGCACAGACAGGGACCTGCTATCAATCTAATTCCTGGCTCTGGCCGTCAGAGCTTGACTGGAGCGCTCAGCTCCTTCGTAACCAAGTTCTTGTTTAAAGAGTAGCGGCTGCCTTGTGAAAAGCTTCCTCAAGCCTCCTCTTTATAGACTCTTGTGTTTCTCCTTTGTTGTACATACATATCCCCTGTTACCATAGTATCTGAGCATCTCACAATCTTTTAATGCATTTATCCTCACAATCCACTGTGAGGTAGGACGCTGCTATTATCCGCACTGTACAGATGGGGAACTGAGGCAGAGAGAGACTAAGGGATGTGCCCAGGGCCACACAGGAATTCTGTGGCAGAGCAAGGAACTGAACCCAGATCTCATAAGTGCTAGGCTAGCACCGTGACCTCACAACCATCCTTCCTCTTTTGTGTCTTAGCTCTACGCCGTTTTTATTTCTCTTTTCCCTCCCTTTCATTGTTACCAGGGCTGGCTTGCTATGTCGCAAGCCTCAATCACATGAACACTGAGCAGCCATGGAGCTATTAGGGCTGGGGGAATCTTGGCAGTTTCAGTTCACAGTGGGGTCTGGCAAACCTTTTATTTGGTTTAAGTCCACACAGGTTTCCCTGCCTGCCTCCTGAACTCCAATATGAACTTGAACGAAGCCAGCAACTCAGTGCAAAACTCAGCCCAACCCGCTGAGTGCCACCAGGGTTTCCACCCAAAACCCCGAGGCTGCACAGTGACTATCTGGGAGCTATAAACCAGTCCCAGGCTAACTTGAGCGAAACTTCTCGGGAAACTGGTCTGGGTTTGGAGTTTGGAATGAAATCTCAAACTAAACCATTCCTGGGGCTTGACATTAACAATTCTGCACCTCTCTAGTGGCCTTCAATCAGCTGGTGGAATTGGGAATTTTGTTTCGGCAAAGTGACTCTCCCAAAGTGGCAGAGTTGGAAATAGAACCCAGGAGTCCTGTTAGGGTGACCAGATGTCCCAATTTTATAGGGACAGTCCTGATTTTTGGGTCTTTTTCTTATCTAGGCTCCTATTACCCCCCCCGTCCCGATTTTTCACACTTGCTGTCTGACTCTGTCTGCTCTAACCACTGGATCACACTGACGGTCCTAACCCCTTGTGCTGCCGTAATCAACGTCTCTCCCTTAGTTAATCTGCAACTGGTCATATCCCACCCATCCCTAGGTCTTCTCTGCTGTAGGGATTTGCCCTGATTTCAGCCGTCAGTGTAGCTGCACCTAATGTAGACAAGGCAAATGGTTATATGCTGCTACTGTATTTGCACAGCTGCAGCTCCACTGGCGCAACTAGCAGGACAGTCTGTCTGCCCTAAAGGCTGCATTAACGCCACTAGCTACTCCACTGGCTGAAACTGGGGCAAGCCCCCAGTGCAGACAAGGCCTTAGACACAGTGTGGCTGGTCTCTGTTACTAACCAGTTCCAGCTGATTGGAAAATGGCATCAGTTTCTGGGGAGTGGGTGTGCCAAAGTCCATGCCAGTCGCCCCTGCCTGGTTGCCCAGGTCCCCGCTGGAGAGTGACGTGTAATCTGTCCGGTGGGAGCCGTGGGCTTTCTGGCTGACCTTGATGTAAAAGAAGTCCTCATTCTTGTTGCCTTTGGAGCTGGACTTGTTGTGGCTGGAGTCCTGGGAGAAGCCAAACCTCAGCAGCCCATCTGAATACCTGTTCAGCTTCTTCAGGTGGGACGACTTGCGGAGCTTGTACTGGGAGGCCCGGCAGTGCTTGCTGTGGAAGCTGTGGCCGGAGATGAGGCTACTGACACTCCCCATGATGCTCCGGGGCTGATGGCATGTAGAGGAGAGAGGAGACCCCAGGAGTGTCTTCTACAGTGGCGTCCTGGCTAAGGGTGGAGACAGGTTGTGCTGCAGTCATAGCAAAGATCTCGCTGTACCCAGGAGTTGCAAACCTGCGGGAGACAAGAAGTGAATGGAAGAGGATAGAACAGGGAATTCAAGTGCACGGATCCATTTCAGATCTCTCTGCTGGGGGCTGCAGGGATCACGGGGGGTGGGGGTGGGGGGGAAGGCCAGAGGGGGAGTTCTCTGGACTGCTGTGCAGGAGGTCAGGCTAGATGATCATAATGGTTCCTTCTGGCCTTAAAGTCTCTGAATTTAAGCGGCTGGGTCCAATTCCAGTTCCTGCTGGACAAGTGTCCACACCACAAAAACTGCCCCCTCCCCTTGTTGCCAGGTTCGGCAGAGGGACCTAGCATTGTTTGGGTCAGAGACTGCAGGTCCCTCTCGCCACTTCCCCAGGTCCAGGCTCTGAAGCACAGAGGGGGCGTGCTCCCAGTGTCCCACGGAGCGAACAGACAGCACGGCAGGCACCCAACATGGTGAACAGGGAGGGGCTGTGGGTGCGCGTGTACACACACACACACACAAGCCAGGCTCCCTTCTGAGTGTTCAGAATGCTGTCTAAGGCCTTGTCTACACTCAGGAACTGTCCTGATTCAGCAGCTGGTGCAGCTGCACCAGTGCTGACCACGAGGGCCAACCCAATTAACTTAGCCGGGAAAACCCTTGGCTTGCTCCCGGGGTCGGCAGTGGCAAGCACTTCTGCAGCTGCATTGACTGCCCACCACCGGTGGCTGATTCGGGGCTATTCCCACATGTGGACAAGGTCTTTCCTTAATGACTTGCAGCCTCTGTTTGCCAGAATGGACAAGGGAGGGAGTCTAACCCAGGACTGGGGCATTCTGAAAACAAGGTGTGTCACCTTCAACAGGTGCTAGCCAGCTCTGTGGCTCTTAGCTCCTGACTCTCATTGTTATTGTATTGCGGTACACTAAGAGCCCCAGTCACGGACCAAGACCCTGTTGTGCCAGGTGCTGTACATAGTCAAAATCACGTTCCTAAAGCCCGGCCCTCTGCAAAAACAAACTGCTTTAATGCAGCAAACACATCCATGGTATATTGGAGGTAACAGAAAGCAGTATGTGATTTCCTGTGGTGGGGCATTGGGCAGCTTTCTGTTAGTCATCCTGACAACCTCCTGGCGCGTTCATTGGTCCGTGCTGGAGGGCTGTTATTACCAGCTTCCAAGCAGACTGCTGGGGCTTTGTCTCGAAGTATGGTAGGACATAAATGAAATGGTTCGTTCGGCTGCACCTGGGGCTCCCGCGCATCTGTTTGGAGACCAGTATGAGTGAGCAGAGCTGAGCAAAATGTTTGACCCAAACGTTTTGTGTGTGACAAACACAGTTTTGAGTCCACTCAAACCATTTTGTAAATTCACATCCAATTTGCCAAATTGTTTTGGTCAAGTTAAAAAAAAACCTAAACAAAATAATTCAGGGAGAGGCTAAAGGTTCTGTTCTGACATTGTTTCAAATGAAAATGTTTTTGTTTAGCCAAACTTGTTTTAAATTTTGAGCTTTATAAAGGTTTTATTATTGTTGGTTTTAAAAAATAAAATGTAAAGAAATGTTGAAACAACATCTTTAGTTTGCCCTGGGACCATTTCAAAACAAAACAAAACAAAACAACTACTTCAGCATTGCCAGCAAACTGAACAATCAGATTTTTGCACAGCTGTGCATGTGAGCCCCAGTGGAGCTACGCCCTCTGCCGGGTGCGTGACGCCGGGTAACTGGCCGAGGGGATGCTGCAACAAGAATCAGTTTAAATTAAAATACAGGCTGCTGGCTCAATGTGGGTTTTCTTCTCTTGGAACCAGCAACCAACAACCTTCCAATCATCAGATTCTTGTCTGATTCAAGGAAGTTCCCTTCCTGTAGTTAGCACCGCATCTGCTTCTGCCCCTTAAATATTCATTATGCCATTGCATACACTCATCCCCTGCCTCAAAAGGGTTAGTGAAAATAACACTCTGCACTCATCTAACATCTTTTAGTCAAGGCTCTCAAATTGCTGTACACACCCACACACACACACCCACACACACACACACACCCCCCACCTACCTACCTCTGTGGAGGATCTCAAACACTGTATTGATGAGAACAAATAGGACACTTCCAGAGTCGTCAGAATCACCCACTGTTCTGCAGCCAGAGTCCTGCTGGGCCACTCTATTAACTTTACAGCCCAGCAGGCCTGCCCTTTCATCTTGTTCACTTGAGGGCACTTAATGCAGCCAGACTGAAGTCATGCTGCCTTATAGTCCTTTGCCGGTTTTCCATTATGGTCTGAGATAATGTGAGTGTGGGCGTCTGTGTATGCACATTCATCCGTGTGAAAGGATGTATGTGCATGAGTGTGTAACTGTGTGTGAGAATGCATGGGGTGTGTGGGCATGACCACGAGTGTGCACGTGAGAATGCACGGGGGAGACTGAGAGCAAAGGTGTGTGTCAATGCCTGCTTGTGCAGGAAAGCAAGTTTATATAAGTGTGCAGGGTGAAGAAGCCACCTAGTAGCCAGGGCATTGTTAGCTTGTAGCCTACTGGCATTCCCTCCATCCCTGTCACAAAGAACAGGCTGTGACTGAAAGGACAGTAGCTGAGGAAGAGACGTACAGGGTATGTGCACACCGCAATAAAACACCCACAGCTGACCCCGTCAGCTGGCTTGGGCTTGGGCCGTGGGGCAATACAATTGCAGTGTAGGTGTTCGGGCTCTGGTGAGGGTTGAGAGCCCGGGCTCCATCCCGAGCCTGAACATCTAGACTGCAATTTGATAGCCCTGCAGCCTGAGTCCTGCGAGCCTGCGTCAGCTGCCAGAGGCCAGCCGTGGCTGTTTTATTGCAGTGTAGACATACCATAGAAGGGCTTCTCCCTGGTGGTGAGGAAGGCTCTGCTAACCTCCCACAAGCTGTCTGAATTCCCCGGAGCCGGAATCCCAAGCTCCCTCGCTTTGTGGCATGGTTCCCAGAGAGCTGGATGCTAGAAGCCTGAGGCTGGAATATCTCCAAAAAAGGTATATTCCACCCACTCCTTGAGCAGCCTTTTCCCTTGCCAAACTGTGCTCACAGCTTGCATGCTCACCTGACCGTTTAACCTTCGCTTCCCCTGCTGCAGCTTAAGCTCACTGACTTCTCCTGAGGGCTTGGTTGCACTGCAAAGTTAAGTCGAGTTATAACATGCATAGCCCCGAACGCGAGTCCCGTCCATATCTAAAGAGCCTTCATTCAAATCTGGCGTTAAGAAGAGGTCAGGGCTATAGGCCCAGCAAATCAGCTCTTAACACAACCACTCTGTCGCGTGGATGCAGGCTGGTGCCAGGAGTCCTCCAGTGCGGCCCCACAATTCCACCCATGTGCCCAGAGAGGACAGAAAGATTCTCCCACAATTCCCGGGGAAAGCATTCCCAAAGCAGCTCAGCACTAAGAACGGTGGGCTGCGTCCCCAGAAGTCTTAGCAGCACCACACAGAAGCGAGTGCAGCGCCAGTGCGGACACAGCAGCTCGGTGTTCTGTGGCAGTCTGGTCGCGCTCGCTCGAGTTAGCCTAGCTCCAGAGGAACGGCGCGAGTGTAGAGAACATGAGTTCACTCTGCGGGGAAGACAGACCCTATGGAGACCAACTGGCCCCTGGCCCCTTTGGGTATTTGCAGATAGTTCTCAGCTCTCCCCTTAGATGCCCAAATCAAACTGTTTTCAAGTAAGGCTGATTCCCCTACAACAACTTCTTGAATGCAATGCACTATGGGATACCCCTCTGCAGTGACAAGGCCAGTGAAATGCCATTTCTCATAGACTTTAAGGTCAGAAGGGACCATTGTGATTATCTAGTCTGACCTCCTGCACATTGCAGGCCACAGAACCTCGCCCACCCACTCCTGTAATAGACCCCTGGCCGAGTTACTGATGTCCTCAACTCATGATTTAAAGATGTCAAGTTACAGAGAATCCACCATTTACACTCGTTTAAACCTGCAAGTGACCCATGCTCAATTCTGCAGAGGAAGGCAACCCCCTCCCCCCGGGTCTCTGCCAATCCAACCCGGGGGGGGGGGGGAAATTCCTTCCCAACCCCAAATCTGGCCATCAGTTAGACCCTGTGCATGTGGGCAAAACCCACCAGCCAGACACCTGGGAAATAATTCTCTGTAGTAATTCAGAGCCCTCCCCATGTAGTGTCCCCTCACCAGCCACTGGAGATTTTTGCTGCTAGCCATCGCACCTCAGCTACATGCCATTGTAGGCAGTCTCCTCATACCATTCCCTCCAGAAACTTATCAAGCTCACATCTTCAACCCCCACTGTAATAAATGCATTTAAAAACAAAAGCTGCTCCCCCAGCCCTCAATCTCTGCCCCATAGCCACTGCCTACAAGGCAAGCTCCTCATCGGAGCCCCCTGCACTTAACCCTCCCTGCCCCTATGTAGGAGAGAAGGGGAAGGATGTGGTGGGAACTCAGCATGTTTCCAACTCTTTATGAAAAGAAAGGGCCTGGAGCAAAAATAGCCCAGCAATAACCCTGTGATCGATACCCTGAAGCCAGCAGCTCAGCAGAAGCTTGTCTTCTCAAGAGCCAGCTGAGCTGTAGTGGAATTAAGAACCATTGAATCCCTATGGTGATTTCCTCCCCCAGAGTAAATGGCTTCCCCACCACGGTCCAGGCAGGAACAAGCTCCTACAGGAGGGGCAGATTAAGGCAGAATTCTAGGAGGGATCTGTGCTTGATTGAGTAAGGAGCCAGAGGCATTCTGCATGTGCCCAGCATCTCTATATCTACTGGGGCCCAGAGAAAGGACACAGGAGGGGGCAGATCACAGGACACCTGGCGGCAGGGAACTGGGCGGCAAGGACTGTTTACAGGAGGTTGGGATGTGAAGATAAGTAATCAAGAGAGGGGATTGGGAGGA